CATCTCACTTTCGACGAGATGGCGAGCATCGGCATCTTCGGCAACCCTGCGCCAACGCGTTACCCACACGATCTTATCACGGTTTGTGACAAATTTGGCGACAAGGTCTGGGTGCTCATAATCGAAAAGTTCCATCAGATCGTTTTCCACGTCTCGCAGCGATTTCTCTGTGCCGTCCTCCGCTTTGCCACCAAGTATTTCCAGAGCCTGTGTGGCCTTCTCCTGCTGTATATGAGCGTCGGTATACGCAGAACCAATTTGACGTTGTAACCAGTAAGCGTCGATTTGCCGGGCAGGAACTATCAAGTTCTTGTCCCGTCGTTGGTCGGCGCGATCTAGTCCACCGTCGATGACCATCTCTTCCTCGCCCTCGAGACCTTCAATATTCGCCTTCTCGGCCGTCGCAGCCTCAATATCGGGAGCTTCTTGTTCATCTGGCTCTTCGTCGTCGGTCAGGTCATCCTCGTCTCGGACCTCGGTGAGAGTACCCATTCGCTCATCATCCTCGTCTTCCTCGTCGAAGACGACGGCAACACCCTGACGTTCATCGAGCTCCGCCTCTTCTTGGCCGTCCATTCCGCCCTCCATCTCTTCGTCCTCGTCCTGCGCATCGTAGTCCGTAATCTTCTTCCCCAAATTTACAAGCTCATTGAACTCTTTTGGACTCATGGAGCTACCAAGCAAGTCATCAATCTCCTTTTTCTTGTCAAAGTCCTTCATATCTTCGTCCTTCAATAGCTCCAACACAGCGTCGGCAGCACTCCGGACGACTTCGTGAGGGACATCACCCAGATGACTCGCAGTCATCGTAAGTATGAGATCGTAGGTCGCGCGGGTGGCGGGAGTTCGAGGGCGGTATTTCAAACCCTCTATGAGAGCATCGGCGGCGGAAAGAATACCCTGACCGCGTAATTGTTGTTGCCCGTGACGTTTTCTCTGTTCTCGAGCGAGCACATCCTCCCCTTCTCGGATCGCACCTCGCTCGATATCTGCAGGTCCGACGGGTTTCTTCTTGGTTTTTGGCGCATCGTCACGCGCGACACTTGCGCCCATCTCCCGAATACTGATGCGCCCGGCAAGGGATTCTGGGTCTCCGGTGGGTTCATCGTTGATGCGAGAAATGAAACGACGGTCCGCCTGGAGAACCAGGTTGGACATCGCCGAGTATTTGTACTGGGAGATATTTTGGTCCGCCATATTGATGGTATTTTAACTGCTATCAAAAAAAAATCCGACAAAGCAAGAACGATAGTGCGACGACTTCTTTCAGTCGTCCGGGCTCGGTGGAGCTCAGATTCAGCCGGCGCGTCGACACACCTGCGTCAAGAAATGAATTGTGGAAATAATTAAGTGTCCGTAAAGGCTTCACAAACCTGGATCATCCTCTTGCAGCAGGCAAGCTTACTCGTTATTGCAGGGTTGCAAGCTGCCTGTAGTGGTTGGATGGTTGAAGGGAGATGCCGTTTGAAAGTTGTTGGGAAGTTCTTCTGCAGCAGATTTCAGTGGCGAAGCGGGAAGGTTTGGCGAGTGACACCTGAGATTTGAGGTTCCGCTTTGGTTGTCGCCGCCCGCCATCTCATCCAGACCAACACCAACACCACTTTGGTGACTTGCTCAGCTCAAGACCATGCGCATCAATGGATGTCGATTGGCCCGTTTAGCCCCGTCGCAATTCTATCCTCTCCGTAAAATTGACACTTCTGCCGCGCATTGTTGCCTTGTGCACCGAACGATCTGTCACCATGCGCGCCGTCCACTCGCCCGCGTCGGAGCTTCGTTACCAACGCCTCATCTCGAGCTCAGAAGGGGGGCAAGAACGAGGACTACGGTCAAAGTCAAGGATCTACCGCAGGGAACATTGAAACTCGAGCCGTATGACGACGCTACGGACGATGCGCCTCGATATCCCACGGTCGTACAGGGACATCGGAATAACATGCAGAAATTCAGGAATTGTGTTATTTTGACTCGAGTAGGGGGTTTCTACGAGGTACGGACTTCGGACTGGCGGTTCAAGTAGAGTTAGACAGTCGTATTCTCTCTTCTGAAGGCAGCATAGATCCCTGACAGATTCTCCAGCTCTACTTTGAGCAGGCTGAAGAGCTAGCTCCGTTACTGAACTTGAAGGTCGGCGTCAAGAAGACCAGCGCGGGTCCTGTTCCCATGGCAGGATTTCCCTTCTTTCAGCTAGATCGGTTTTTGAAGATACTGGTCCAAGACTTGAATAAATACGTGGCTATCAGCGAAGAGTTTGCCAACGCCGCTGAGGATAAAGCCAGGGGTGGTCTGCTCTTTGATCGCAGGGTAGCCAGAATTATCACGCCAGGTACCCTAATCGACGAGAAGTTCATGGACCCTTCGGAGAACAATTTCTTGCTGGCGGTTTATATGGACGTGCCAGCCTTGAAAGCGCAATTAGAACAACAGGAGGATGATTTGTCTGCGCAACAGCACATATTGTCATCCGCATCCCAACGCGTAGGCTTATCCTGGCTCGACTTATCCACGGGCGATTTCTTCACACAATCAACTACTGCTCAGATGCTTCCTTCGGCGATTGCTCGGATCGGAGCGCGGGAGATACTCGTGGACCAGAAACTTCAGGATCTGATCGGGCAGGAGCTGCAACTTCTGGTTGGGCATGACCATCGTTTGATGACCTTTTTCGCATATCCCAGCAACATTCTACCTGTATCACAGTGGAGCTCTGTGCTTGAGGCACCAATAGCTGACCAAGATTCTGATGCTTTCACGCCGGAAGAGATCGCAGCCGGTTATAGCTTGCTGGAGTATATCAGAGTTCAGCTGCAGGGCTTGAATCTGAAGCTTCAGCCGCCTCGTCGTCGACATCTAAATGAGTCTATGAACATCGACCGGAACAGTCTGAGAGGCCTGGAAATTCTCGAGACGGCGCGGGATGGCTTTGGAAAGGGAAGTTTACTACATGCGGTGCGCCGGACGTCTACCAGAAGTGGAGCACGTCTGCTGAGAGATCGTCTAAGTATGTCTCACCCTGTTCTGGCTTTTGCAGATTGCAGCCGTATTGACTGATATATTCGTAGCATCTCCTTCCACTTCATTGCAGGTAATCAACGAACGACTCGACCTTGTATCAGTCTTTCTTGAGGATAGTGATTTACGCGACAGCGTAATCCAACTGCTAAAGCGGAGCTATGATGCTCAACGCTTGGTCCAGAAATTCACCTTGGGAAGAGGAGACGCAGACGACCTGATCTGTCTTGCCAGGGCCATCCAGGCTTCGAGAGAGATCAAGATGGTTTTATCAAGCCAAGATAACGGCCGGCTTGACAGTCCGCCTCATATACAGTCCATCGATGCCAAGCGTAGTCTCTCAGCTATGACCGGTCGACTCTGTCTGGATGGACCGAACGCGCTGGCGGATCAGATCTCAGCTGCCATTGACGAAGAAGGTCTACTGCAGAAGCAGCGTCTTGAGGATGATACGGCTGCTGAAGCGGCGATTCTGGCGCAGGAAGTAGCCATGAGCGAGGGACTTCCTGGAGAAGTGGAGGCGCTTCCAAAAAAAGTGAGAGCTAAAAACAGCGATCAATCCAAGACGTCATCAGAAGAAACAACCGCGCTGGACACTTGGATCATGAGGCGCAATGCCAGCGCAGCTCTTCTTGAACTACATGAGTCCTTGGACCGACTGCAGGATGAAAAGACGCGTCTTACTCAACGTCTTCGCGAGGCCGTCGGATCAATTGCCCTCTCGTTGAAATGGACTCCTGGCCTGGGACATATCTGCCATGTTAAAGGAGCGAAAATTTCCCAGCAGTCTCTAGAGGAGCTCGGTGTAACACGGAATGTGTCTTCAACCAAGTCGACACGGTCCTTTTATCTTCCCGCCTGGTCAGCTTTGGGTAACCGAATGGACCAGGTGAAAGTCCAAATCCGACAAGAGGAACAGGCGATCTTTGAGGCACTGCGCCGCGAAGTGATTCTCAACCTAGTGAAGATCAGACGCAACGCAGCCGTAATGGACGAGCTTGATGTTGCATGTTCTTTCGCCACTTTGGCTCAAGAACAACGTTTGGTGCGTCCGATCCTCACCAGTGGAGTAACCCATAAAATCGTTGGGGGAAGACATCCAACAGTCAAGCTTGGGCTCGAGGAGCAAGGGCGACAGTTTGTCAGTAACGACTGCTTCTTGGGCGATTCAGAGAGGATCTGGCTCATCACTGGTCCGAACATGGCCGGTAAAAGCACGTTCTTGCGCCAAAATGCGCTCATCACCATCTTGGCACAGGTTGGGTCATTCGTGCCAGCTGAGTATGCGGAGATTGGCATTGTAGATCAGATATTCAGTCGCATTGGGGCAGCTGACGATTTATTTCGAGACCAGTCCACTTTCATGGTGGAGATGCTCGAGACGGCCACCATATTGAAGCAGGCGACAGCGCGCTCCTTTGTCATCATGGATGAGGTTGGCCGCGGGACAACGCCGGAAGACGGGACAGCAGTCAGCTTTGCCTGTCTGCACCATCTGCACTACCGCAACAAGTGCCGGACGTTGTTCGCAACCCATTTCCATGCTTTGGCGGACATGACCGAGGACTTTGCGGCCCTGGGGCGATACTGTACCGATGTGAAAGAGACGGCCTCGGGGTCGTTCTCATTTGTCCATCGACTGCGCAAGGGAGTGAACCGTAATTCCCATGCGCTCAAAGTCGCACAGCTCGCAGGCTTGCCGAAGGAGACCCTAGAGATGGCCAGTCGAGTGCGACAGTCGTTGGGTAACCGCGCTCCATGGTCTTCGGGCGGCAGCGATAGCCATACTATCGCGTCAGCAACCGCATAGTGCTCGTTACTCCTGACCCTCTATGTACATGTACCTTATCTTCTTGTGTGTTGCACTTTTGCTCGAGATACCAAACCAGTCATGCTTAACGTACATTCATAATACATTCATAAATGAGTTCCTCTATGGACAAAGGCCTCCATTCCAGACGTAGGCAAAGATACCACCTCCAAGCGTTTTAGAGCTTGGAAGCGCCCAACGTCCGACTCTTCCCCAAATCAACCACAATCCCTTCCCCAAACGCAGCCTCCTGCACATCCTCATCATCCACACCATTGACAAACTGAACAACCACAAAATCCACCCGCCTGGAACCCAGCACCACCATCGGCGCATGCCACGTCCCAACCCCATACGTCACCGCCTGCCCACCCCTCGCCACAAACGCCCGCGCATTGTTCAAGTCGGGGGGATCCCTGATCGTGACGGTGTCCCCCGAAGGCGTAGTCGCCCTCGCCGTCTGGCCCTTCAACGTCGGCGCCACGACAACCAGGTAGAATGGTTCCTCCGCATCGCCCGCGCGGGTCTGGCTGGAGAGGTCGATAGGTGTGAATGTCTGCGTGGTGAAGGGGTGTCGCTCCAGGATGCGGACGTCGAACACGCTAGACTCCCCTCCTGTTGCTTGGGCGGCGCGCAGTTTGCGCGGGAAGCACGAGAACATGCTCATGCGGGCGGAGGAGGGCTGGCCGCTGGGACATTGCGGGTAGCGGTCGAGCAGTGGGGAGATGGGGCTGTACTTGAGGGCGGAGGATTGGTTCGCGACGACTGGAGCGGGATCGTGAGGAGGGAGAGAGGAGAGAGGAGGCGCGGAGGAGAGATCGCGTGGTAGAGGACAGCTGATGGCGGTGCCGAAGGGGGCGAAGGCCTCTTTGGTGAAGGGTTCGGGGGTGATGCGGAGAGTTGGGCTGGAGGTGAGAATGGGCGCCATGGTGTTTTGGCTTTGCAGGTGGGTTGAGACTTTGGGGAAGTGTAGTGTATAAATCTCCTTTGAAAGCAATTGCAAGGACCAGCCTCGCAGAAGCTGAGAGTAACGCCGGGTTAATAACTCAGGAGAGCAGTCGACGATGACTCCGTCAAGTGTCGGCACTCGCCGTGGGTGGCAGCCGCTAAAAGCAGCTTCGGGAGAAGCCGATTATCATCAACACTACACCTTGGCTCCATTTAGAGGCGCATTTCGCAGCCTTAAATGAGATTTCAATATGTGTCCTATGCTAATCACTGATGCAATTCATTCTTCTGCTTCAAAAAGAGATTTAATTTGTTGATCACCAGCGTCAATGGTCCATACTCCTCCTCTAACCAGTTGGCAGACTGTCGGGGGTCATCTATCAGCACACCCACAGTAGAGGGCTCAGCACTCTGGCTCAATCTCATAGACCAGGCTAGCACTGGTCTATATCAAAATGCAGCAGGAGGATTGACAGTCTGAGCAAGACGCTTCTAGCTGTGGATTCCCCGTTTCTTCCCCGCATTCCCGCAACTCCGCAAAAACCGACTAGTATCAGCCATTAACCGAGGCCAGTTTGTCATTGATAGGGACAATAAGCGGACTCCAATCAGCTAGATACGTCTTTTCTTGCTATAAATATACCGGGGATCACTGCTAGAAAATCTATCCAAGGATTGACTCAAATTCAAGCAACTTCACCATTGTACTCTCAAGTAAAGATCACAATGGCCTCAACGTCTGACCTGCCGAGGAAGCTCTGGGAGCATCCTAGCCCACAGTCTACTCAGATGTGGGCGTTCAAATCGGAGTTGGAGAAAGAGAAAGGACTTCAGCTTCCAGTACGTACATTTGAGTCTAGTATCACGCACTTCTATTGTCGTCTAACGGGTTTGCTAAGGACTACCACTCTCTCTTTCGGTGGTCAACGGATAATCGTGCATCCTTTTGGGACTTTTGCTGGAGATACTTTCCCATCATATCAGAAGGCACCTACAGAACTGTTGTCGATGAATCAGCCCGCATTGACAGCATCCCCACCTGGTTTGAGGGCGTGCGACTCAACTTTGCCGAGAATATACTGTTTTCGGCGGAGAGGTCAAGCTCGGGGCATCTACAGATTACAACGAAAGGCAAGGAGGACAACAAAGTTGCTCTAACAGAAATCAGGGAGGGAGGGGGGGAACCATCTTCCAACATTACATGGGCCGAGTTGAGACGCAAGACAGGAGGAATGGTGCAAGCACTCAAAGCAGCCGGCGTCGTTAAGGGAGATCGAGTCGCCGCTGTAGCAAGTAACAGCGTCGATACACTTGTCGTTTTCCTGGCAACAACGGCTCTCGGAGCGTGGTTCTCGTCAACGTCCACTGACACGGGCGTCAAGGGAATCCTCGATCGTCTGCTCCAGTTGAAGCCAAAGTACGTCTTTGTTGACGATTTCGCAATCTACAATGGGAAGCGGATTGATCTTCGGCCAAAAATCAAGGACATTGTCGATGGTCTCCGGGAAGTTCCTGAATTTGAAGGCATCATCGCGGTGCCACGGTTCCCAGGCCAGCCAGTCGATGTGACAAACGTGCCCAAAACCGAACCCGTTGCAGCCTTTCTTGCGAGGGCTCCGTCAGACAAGCTCGAGTTTGTCAGGGTTGGGTTTCGGGATCCGTTCCTAGTTGTGTACTCATCAGGTACAACTGGCAAACCCAAGCCCATCGTTCACGGAGTAGGCGGTGTCATACTCAACACTTACAAGGAGGCTCGGCTGCACCGTGATCACGGACCAGATTCGACGGTTTTGCAATACACCACCACCGGGTGGATCATGTATCTGTCTGCCATATCAGGACTAATGTTCGGCGGCAAAGCCATCTTGTACGATGGAAGTCCTTTCCTACCGGACGCCAAGTTCCTCATCGGGCTATTGGGCAAGCATAAAGTGACTCATTTCGGAACATCACCGCGCTATCTCCATGAGCTCCGGAAGAACAGCATACGACCAAGAGACATTGCAGATCTCAGGGCACTCCGCATCGTCACGAGCACCGGCATGGTCCTTTCAGAATCCTTATTTGAATGGTTCTACGACGAGGGTTTCCCATCCCATACCCAGTTGGCGAATATCTCCGGTGGCACCGATCTCGCGGCCTGCTTTGGCTTGGAGAATCCGCTTACTCCTCTATATGTGGGCGGGTGCCAAGGTCCAGCTCTGGGTATTCCTATCGCAGTATTCGATCAGGCGGATGAGGGTGCTACCGCCGTCAAAGGCACTGCCGTTCCGGATGGCGTTCCAGGAGAGTTGGTAGCCACCGCAGCATTTCCAACTATGCCAGTCAAATTCTTGGGCGATGACGGGCCACAGAAGTACTTTGACTCCTACTTTGCTCGGTTTGACAGTAAGTCTCGTTCTTATAGCCAGCCCCTCAGTCGCATCTACTAACCTCTGATGCGTAGATGTGTGGACCCACGGCGACTTCATCTGCATCCACCCTATCACAAAGCAAATTCTCTTCCTGGGCAGATCAGACGGTGTCCTCAACCCCTCAGGCGTCCGCTTCGGATCCGCCGAGATCTACAACGTAATCGACACGCAATTCTCTACCGAGATTGCGGATTCGATCTGCGTCGGCCAGCGACGGCCAACCGACGCCGACGAATCTGTCATGCTCTTCCTGTTAATGCGGCCAGGATACCAATTCACGCCGCAGCTTGTCTCTAGAGTGAAAGAGGCAATCAGGAAGGCATTGAGTGCCCGGCATGTGCCGAAGTATGTCTTCCAGACGCCTGAGATTCCGGTACGTGCCCCTCTTTACGGCCTTAGACTTGACTTAACTATAACTAACGTGGCCCAGACAACGGTGAATCTGAAGAAGGTAGAATTACCCGTAAAGCAGATCGTATCTGGCAAGAAGATCAAACCATCGGGTACTCTGCTCAACCCGCAGAGCCTAGATTACTATTACCAGTTTGTGGAGGTTGAAAAGCTGGTCGATGTCAAGAGCAAGCTGTAGCACTAGTGGGCTTTACACGAGTCACTAGTTTTTGGAGTCATCCACACGTTTTTAATGGTGGACTAGCCTAGAAGAATTTGCATGCTTTTGACTATGAACACTCGTGGCCAAGCACACGGCTCTTAATAACTGGACAATCCATACCTAGTCCGAAAATCACACACACAAAGACCATCTTGGGGGGCGCATAAAATCCACAAGGTCACGAACTCAGATGAGACTTTGATAGAAGCAAGGGTATCAGGTTGCCAGAGAGAATCAAGCCCACGGAACGCAACAATAGCACGAGCACCTTATTAACAAGAAAGGATGAGTAGAAGCAAGACGCGCAGTGATTCTCAGCATTGATAACTCTTTTTGACCGCAGCAATCAGTCACTCAACGGGTAGTTTTGCAAGATGAGCCCTTCTCCCCTGCATGCTTCGGCGAGCGCAGATTTGAGTGTAAGAAAAGATGCGGCATTAACACACTGTGGCTTGCCAGCAGTGCAATGAGTCGTTTTTGACTTGAGGCTTTCGTACACCGAGCATAACGGGGCAGTGTCCCTATGGCTTGTAGCCTTGATTACAGCCCCGAGGTGGAGAGAGTCGCAGCAGAAATGGCAATGAACGGTCTCGCCCTTGAGGCGTGCAGTTTCAGCCAAGAGCACTCTCTTCGCTTTGTCACTTGCAGTCCTCCAGCCCTTAGTAATGTCATCTAAAAAAGGGTTTGTACGTCAGCACTTTGAATTCATCGGATTGGGACGTCGTAGGCCGATAAGAGGTGTAGGAGATGATTAGCAACAATACCTTTGATATGCTCTGGAAGATTGAGCTCAGCAGGGTACGTAGACGACGAACATCTCCGAGACATGGCGGCACTCGTGGAGCTTGTAAACAAGGAATGGCGATTGGAAGCCCAGCTGATATAGACCCATTTCAAGCAGTTATCCCATGTGTCGAAGACTATTTTATTCTCATCGACCAACCGCTTCATCCAGACTCCAAAGAAAAAGGTACATGCCTCTTGACAGTTGAGATAGCGGACCACAGCGGCAACTTTCAGCAGCATCGCTGCGTCAACTTCTTTCGGGATCTGCTGGCCCTGATTGTGTATAATGTTCATGACAATCAGAAATGCTCCGGGGTCACTGTCCAGCATATGGACCTCGACATATCCTGGCTCGTCGGCAGTGCTAGCCGGAGAGATACGTTTCTTGAGATGATCCTTGAAGTAGTTTGACGCCAGAGTCAGATGTTTTGATGACACTTTGAAGCGTGTCTGGGGTGTTTCAACTACTGCTGCTGCTCCGTCCTTTGGATTAGGAAGCTTTCCTCCTGCATTCTTTTTAATAGAAGCATTGTTATTGGCTTCTGTAGACGCGGGACAAGTTGATGGCACCGGTTTGGTTTGTGTTGCTTCCTCTGCTGGGCTGGTCTCGGAGGGAGCTCGTCGTTGTGCGGATAGGACTAGGACAACATCGCCAGAAGGGTCAATCAGGTGGCAGGTACCGCTCATCCTATCTTGTTAGAATAAAGTCTGGCGAAGTGTGATGTGTGAGGAGGTTCATACTTGATGCTCACCCTTCAGAGGAGGCTGTTGCAGGTAGTAAGTTGGAGTTCCTTGATGAAGAGAAGAGAAGGTTAAGAACTTCAGTTCAGAGAGAGAAGGTTGAGACGGTCAGGCCAGAGAAGAAAAGGTTGAGATGGTCAGACAGCGAATGATAGCGGTTCTGTTGTTAGAAAGAGAAGAGTAGAGTGCTGGTATAGCGATGCTGGTGTTGTTAACCTCGCTTCACCAGTACTTCTCAGACTCTGTCAGCATATTCTGATGATTTGCTCACTGGTAAGGAGAACGTATGTCAAGAGCACCAGAGAATGGGCTTCTGAGAGAATTAAATCTTCAATATATGAACAGAATTAGGAAATTCACTACGTGTACTGGGTTAAACTGGAGTTAAATTGCCTCTCAGGTGAGGTGAATGTGATAATGCATCTGAAAGGATTAGAGAACATTCAATTCCTGTGTTTTACTTAATGAATACATAAGAATCACCTGAGGGATATTCACCAAGTCCAACCACATATGTACTTTCAAGTCCTTCTGACGATGTCAACGCCATTGTTCCGGTATCAAGATGAGTCCAGATGATTTCGTTCGATGGTAAATGAGCTCTTCGATTGCTCTAGGTCCAAGAAGTCCACTGCACCGAGCTTTGCAAGATACCTTAGAGCTCGGCTTCTCGAATTCGAGGATTTTCCTAGCCACGCTTTCTGGTGCAAGGCCTTTATAATCGACGTCCTCGCGGGGCCATGGCAGTCTGTGGGCCTTCATTTGCTTCATAAGTGCCCCTAGTCTGAACGAGTCGCACTCGAAAGTGCAGGTAATCTGGCCATTCTCTAATTTATGCCGCCTCACTTCCACATCCTTGAGTAAAAGGTACAGCAGACTTTTCCTTTTCAGATTGATCGTGTCTTTCTATGTAAGCGTAACATCTCTAAGATGGCTCATATGGGCTCACCTGTAACAGCTAGCGGTATACGAAGATCCAGCGTGTTTATGAAGTCCTTGCTCTGCCGTATCGCCAAGCAGGTAACAGATGCGTAAAGCTCGCAATCATTGAACACCCCGGAAACAAAAATCCACTTGACGGTCTCATCACAGTAAGTGTTGGGACGTTTCGCCTTCAACGGTTCGATCCATCTCGCCGGATACAGCCCCAGAACTCCGTGGCATTTGAAGTAGTCGACTTGGACAGCCAGCTCGACCAACTCGTCAAAGATCACCGAGATAGGAACTTCCTGCGTGCGGCAGTGCATTAGATCAAGCAGGATTGAAAACGCCTCAGGATCGGTATCGGGAACGTCCATCTCGATCCAGCCGTTCTTCTGCAGTTCTTCGCCCTCGCCCCATTCTTTCTTCAGCCTCTTTTCGAAGTATTGCGAAGCCAAGCTCAGATGTTTAGAGGAAGCTCGGTATCTGACGACTCCTGCCTCTTCATCTGAATAAAGCCTGGAGGGGGCGTATGCGCGAGGCTGCTTTGGTGGGGATACCACGAGGATGACATCCCCGTTTGGATCAGGGTCACTGGCTCTGTTCACTTCTGGATTCATATCGAATTCGTCATCCTATTGAAAAGCTGAAAAAAGAGGATAGAAAATTTCTGAGGATGAAGTTGAGGACATCATAAGGAGGTCCTGTGAGTTCTTGTTGATCAGCGAATACGGAATGATATTCACAGAAGTGAATCTGTGCCTTACCTTAGGTCAAATTCCTTCATCATGCCCGTAAATTGACTGATAGTTAATGATAAGTACTTTCAATCCAGTGCTTGTTTAGTAGAACCTGAGAATTGCCTCTATGGCATGACCATTTCAAGTCTATTGCAGACTGACTCCATGAGTATAGGGTTAGGGCACGTACTAAAAGCTTCATTCACTTCTACAAAGTCTGCTTCGATAATGGCAGTATATCCTTTATAGTTTCACTGAAGCTTTAAGTACTGTGCACAGTGAAGAAATACGCTGGCTCTAGGCCTTTACTTGGACTGGGTGACAGGAATGTTCTGATTAGGCTTCCTAGAACATCCCACCCGTAACAGACACGAAATTAACATAATTGGAAAAGTGACCTCATACTTTAGCTGTTTATTCTTTCAACAATGTGAAGTCACTTCACAAAGTCCTCTATACTGATTATCATAAACACTATCTCCCCTATCCGCCTGCGGCAGGGATCCCAGCTAATTCGTCAAGTCAAGCTGACTAGACACAGTCACCGTGTCCTGAATCATGTGGAGGCAATCMAAGCCCTTCGCATGAGATAAAGTATATGAACAAGAAGGGAAAACGGACAGTGTACCCATTCTATGCGCCAGGTATACTCCATGGTAAGTATGCAGACCTCCTGACCAGCGGTGCGAGGAGTAAAACACTGAATAGAAAAGACAACCCAGAGGGCCCGTCTATTTGTTGTGTATCAAGAAGTTGCGGAATGAATCCCAGTGATCCGAGTCGGAGTAGCTGAAAAGCATTAGTATCAGAAGCTATCGTGCGGATAAGGTTTACGACATACATGTATACCATGCTGCTTCTCAGGCTGGACATAAGCGTCTCTGGATGCCAACGGAAGATGTACATAACAAGTGCCCAGCTGAGACTTGCAAATACTGGCCATGCATTGGCCTCGATTCTTGCGCGCGACTCGGGAGTGATCAAGGAGGAGAGGGGGTGCATATTCGGCTGGACAGAAAGCTTGGCAAGAGCAAGTGCTACACGAGCAAATACGTATATGACGATCTGGACAGGCTCGTTAGTTTCAATTCTCCCCTTCTAAAACTTCGAATTGATCTCACCTGCTGGGTAATGCTTGTTTTATGTCGACCAAACACTGCATATCCTCCCAGCAGACCCGCAAAGAAGCTGTCATAGCGGCCTTCTTTCCCGACACCAGCAGGATTGACGTTGCGCAGAACTATCATGGAGCTTTTATATATAAGAGCAAACGTCGCCAGGTTCCGAGCATGCTGGCGTGTGGCTTTCAGGACGAGCCCGACCTTTTCTCGGAATCTGAATCCCAAAATCAGTATTTCGGCAATACTCGGCATGTCGATAGGATCGCCTTACGTTCCAGAGCGGAAGAGGAAGATCATTCTGTAAGACAAAGATATCTCGCATTAGCTGGATTCTCAATGTCAAGCTTGCGTGGTTCCGCCAGCGGATTCGGACGTACACTAAAGCGTGCGGAAACCGCACTTTCGACCCATATATAATGCCATTGCGGGCACCCTTGACGAGCGACAGAAGGGGGGCGAGCTGGGGGTCGAGGACAAAGGAATCCAGGCGAGACTAGACAGCGATCAGAAAAGTGTGCGATATAGCTGGATTGACAAAGTCGAGTTGCGCGTCAAGCATACCAGAAGTGCATCCATGGTGTCTGCGGGACCTCGGTAGGTTGATCGGACCAGCGACGGATTGGATTGATGTCTACCGACGGAGAACACCAGGTGTCAGGGAGGTCAGGATGTAGGAAGGAATAGATTTAGGAAACTACCAGGAACGGAATGATAAGGTACAAATATGGATGGGCATGATCCCATCATCAGGACAGATGGCGGGGGAACGGTATTTAATGGACTACGCTTCACCCGCGCAACTGCAAATGATCCTCGGCATGTGAGGCCACCATGAGCACAGACGTCATATCACGTGATTATATATTGTCCAGCAGTTGTCAGTATCAAGATAGAGAGGCACTTTTCGAATAACGTATTAGAGGGACCGTCGAGTTGTTTATCTTTAGATCGGAGCTAATTTGAACCCAAAAAGTTTAAATAGGTGGCAGGATGATGAGAAGGAACTGAACATTGACTCTTGCTCTAGACCAATAACGAAGGAATGTAGAAGCATCTCAAATAGTGCAAGTAGTACGCTCGGTTAATAGACGAATAAAATCATTTTGATATATGCTGGATACTTTTAAGCTATAGTGACCATGAATGAAACTGATCGATCTGCTCGACGACTCGACAGAGAAACCAAACCACCTGAACGCCTTATGCGGTATAGATAGACAAAGTATCATGCGTCAAAAACATCGCCAGACAAACGGAGACAGCAGTCTATTCCGTTCTCGCCTTCTTCCGTCCCTCATCATCCGAGACTTCGTCCACATCCATCATCTCCGCATCCTCCTCATCAGACTCCACACCAGCACGTCGCTTCAGACCCTTCATCTTCCTCGTCTGCAGGCCAGCCAGATCCTGCTTGCCCAAGTGCACACGACCGATCTTGTCACCCATGACGTCCATGCCAATGTTCTTCTTCGTCTTCATGTTCTCATTAGGTCTCTTGCCCTGCTTCATGGCCTCCTTCAGAGCACTCTCGGGTGCCTCGTGCAGACGACCGATCTTGAAGTCGAACTTGGGCCCGATCTCATCCAGCTCAACGCGGGGGAGCTTGTGTCCACTACGCTTTGTCCGAAGCTTGTACCATCTGAGATGAATAATAGGAGCCAGACCATCGGTAGGTTCCTCAGCGGCGATCATCAACGCATACTGCAGTCCCTCGACATCGATCTTATCCGACTCCTCGCCCTTGAACATATCAACAAACATGCTCTTCAGCATAACGTGAGCGGTAGAGGTGGAATCTTCCCACGCAGTACCAGTGAACAGCAGCATAGGCCGTAAACCAATTCCAATCTGCATCTTGAGGTTGTTGATCGCAGGGATTGAGTCTCCGTCCGGGTTAGGGAGCAGCATCAATTCGCACATGTCCAGGAGCTTGGAGTCGAATATCCGCGCCACAGTCAGGCAGTTGGGTCTCTTCTTGCTACTGCTTCCGAAAACAACGATACCGCACTCATTCTTGTTGGCGAGAAACTCGAGGCTCTCGGCGCTCTCGAACGGGTGAATGTTCTCGTTCTTCTTGTGGAAGAGGACGGAGTTGGGAATCGTCAGCGAGTGAAATGTCTTCAGGACTGTGTTAAGTGCCGTCGGGCATTTCGAGCCATGCATGAAAAGCGTTCTCTTGGGGGGTTCGATGAGCTGGGGCTCGCGGGCCTTCAGAATGCGCGCTGTGCGCGGATTCTTGGGTTTGCTGTTGAGAAAGACCTAGTCAGAGGGTGCTCTCCTAATAGACAAATAATTCTGCTTCCAGAACAAGACTTACACTTCTCTGAGCATTTTGATTCCTTCTGCTTCCAACGACGAAAACTTGGATGTTCGCCGATCACCAACTTGCCTGGTCGAGGAAGAAAAAAGCGGAGCGAAAAGTTTTGGCGGAAATGTCTTGGCACCGCTTATCGATAAGCTTAACTGGAGACTCTTCTCTCATTTTATTCAGATGGTAGAAAACAGCATACTAATATATTAATTGCGGGTTGGCAGAACAAAACTCGCCATGGACCAAGTAACAAGCACAAGATATGCATTCAACAGTGAAACGGGCGATTTTTATTGTTATATCTCCTGGTCATCTATCTACTCCAAGCGAAGCTTCTCAAACTCGCGAATCTGCTCTTCCAGCCGGGCAGCCTCACTCTCGGCATCCCGAAGCTTTCTCTCTTCCTGTTCAAGAACCTCTGGCTTAACCTTCTCCTTCCATCCAGCGCCATTGACGAGAGCCTGTTGGCGGCGAACATTCTCGCGTGCCTTCTCCAGACTGGCCTTGGCCTTCTCTTCCTGCTCCAGAGCTACCTCTTTCGACACGCGGAGGTACACAGCGGCCTGGGCACCGACGGCGGCAACGACGCAGCCTGAAGGGGGGTTGGTGTTCTCGGGGTCAGCTACGCTGAGCTCTCCCAAAAACTTGCCACCCAGGGACTTGATGCTAGTCACTTCGTCCGAGATGGTCTTGTGGCTGACGGGGTCATATGTCTGGATAATAATATCGCCCTTAGTCTTGACCTCATATTGGGCAAGGATCGACCGGATGGCCTTGGAAGTATTCAAGATGAGCTCGTAAGCCGTCTCGGCTTCGGGGTCGTTGAACTCTGGGTTGTACTGGGGATAACGAGCCTTCATGATCGAGATGGTCTCGTCGCCAGGTCTGCGAGGTAGGCGCTGCCACAAGTGCTCCGTAACGAAAGGCATGATGGGGTGGATAAGAGTCAAAGCGCCCTCGAGGGCAGTGTACAAAGTCTGCTTGGCCGATTCCTGTACTTCGGCGGGCACCTCAGGCGCCAAGAGATACTTCGAGTTTTCGATAAAGATGTCGCAAAGCTGGCCGTACCAGTACTGGTAAGTGGTAGAAGCGGCGCTAGAGAACTCACGCTGCGCCAGCGCCTCATTGACCTCCTTGGCAGCGGTGTTGAATTTATGCAGAATCCAGCGCTCAGAGAGAGACTCCCGGCCAGTCTTTGACGGGGTTGGCAGGGGCTTGAAGTCATCACCCAATCTGCCCAAGACGAACTTAGTAGCCTGGTAAATCTTGTTGCAGAAACGGCGGTAGCCGTGGATAACCTGGATGTCGAATGCGATATCACCACCTAAACCAAAGTCAGTCCGTGTCAGCTTCGGAGTGGGTGCTTTCATTCGGCCATTCTAGGCCAGCTAATATCAGAACTTACCACCAGTAGTATAAGACACAAGGGCGAAACGCAGAGCATCGGC